TCACCTGAAATAAGAATCGTTTTTTCGGTACCTGTAGAATGAGCTGTGTATTAATTCCCGCCATGTTGAGCCACATTTGTAGTTTATGTTGAGGTTTCACAGCCGACGTGGTTGTCTCCTCCGATGCTGTTGAAGGCAAGCGAGTTATTCAATATGGTGTGCAATCTGTAGACTTCACCACTAGATGCCACTAAATCCGTAGGCACACTGGTCCTTAAAGGGATCCAACGTTGACAGTTGTTTGTGCTGAAGGACCAAGGTAATTGCTTTGGGTATAACATCTATTTGGTATGGAAATGAGAAATTAGGCAGGGCTTTAGGAAGAAGATACAAAACAAGAAATCAGAGAATGGCAGAGGTAGATGTCAGGGAGTACTTCAAAACCGTTTGAGAAGTGGATTAAAGACAAGTCCAATTAGTAAGAATATTTACTGGGAGCCTAATATATGTAATGGTAGGGTACATGGTCATGTGCGAGGCAGTCAGGTGAGTACCAGAAGTAGCTCACGAGACCAAAACCCAGGAGTGCGGAGGGGGCAGGTGTAGGTGAGACGATGGTCGCGGGGGGGGGCTGGCAGGAGCCTGCCACGTGCTGCAGTTGACTGCAGCTAGGAGAACGCACCCTGGTTCTTGTATGTTCGGCTGAGGGAGCCCTGCTGCGGACCTGGAGTGTGGGACAGGCAGGTGGAGTAAATATTTAAAGGAAAAAGAAAGAAGTAGAGAGGGTATTTATTGTTTCCTGAGTGGGCGTGTGAGGATGTATTTGTTATTGGTTGTTTAGTTTGTTGTAAAATGTGTAGAAGTGCAGTTGGTTAGGCGGGTTGGCCAGGTACGTGTGGACATGGCGGATAGCAAGGGGAGATGTTGACTCGCTGATTTTACTTGCTCGTTAATGCACGAGACGACTACAGAGGATAGGCGATAAGATGAAGACAGGAGCAAGCGAAGCTCAACAGAAGAGTAGACGGAAGAGCTAGCTATGTACAGTGTTATAGCTATGAGTATAGGAAACAAGGACCGAATGAACAGTTTGTAGGAGGATGGGAGTGGGGGTATGGGGAATGGTGAAAGGATCGGCCGTGTGTAAGATTTAGAGGTCGTATGGTGAGAAATGGAAGTAGGTTACATGGAAGGCTAGGTGAATGTGTCATGTAGGTGGGGGAGGTGAATTCCTGCAGAGGAAAACATTAAAGTGAACTGTTAAAGAAGACATTTGTTCAGAAACGTGGTGCGTGTGAGTACCTCTGTGCATGCGTGGTATTGGGATGAGGCAGGAGAGTAAGATGAGCATGCACAATGGACTGGAATTTCGCTCGGGGGGGTATATAAATGAGAATAATAAACATAGGTCGGGTGGCAGCTACGGGGAGGGATAATGGGGGTATAGCTGTATTCCAGGCGTGTAGGTGAAGCACTCGTGGATTGAGTGCTGACTGAGGTCTGGGTGGAGGTTGACGCCGGAGTGTATCTGATGCCGTGGTTCTGATGGTGGGGGGGTATGGAGCACTCTGTGGGCTTCGTGCGAGTCTACTGTGGCCGGTGCGTCTAGTTCCTGAGGCCCGGACGGGGTGGTCCTGTCGGTATGGTGGTTCAGTGGGGTGGGGAAGTCGTCGACGTCTGGATCACGCATCGGGGCATGCGTGTCCCACGCAGCGCATGCTCCTCGATGTTCACGCACTTACAGTTTCTTCATCGGTAAGATCATGGGCGCTCATCGGGTTTCTGTGATGCATTCCAGCTGTGGGACAAGTTATGATCAATTCTGAAATCCACACATGGAGCAGGTATCTGAAGAGCCAAGAGTTCCCCTCGCCCCTCGAGTCTGTCGCGGAGCGTGAGTAGCCGGCGGGTTGAAAGCGGGAGATACTGACGCTGATCACCAGCGGCGCGGGAAGGTATCTATGGCTGTGTGTGTCTGATCTCAGTGGGTGATGGCGGACTATTTATAAAGGGATCAACATTGTGTCTGGTTGTCTTAAGAGGACGTGATAACACTGTTGCAGGGTGACGAAGTTGTATGAGAGTGCGTTGGGGTGTGCTGTGTGTTTGTGGGGTATGTCGCTCAGCCTAGTTACTGTGCCCTATTCCAGTTTCTTCCGAAACTCCAGCACAGTTGCTCACATTAGTGGGCCTGCTAGCAATCCAGAGGTGCTGCAGGGTGGGAAGAGAAGGTATGGTCGAGGGTGTGAGTGTGGGTCGGAGTGTTATTTTGGAGGAGGCGACCGGGGATGGTGGTCGTAGAGGGGTAGGCGCCAGGAGAAGAAACCAAAAGCGAGAACACGTGAACTCTGAGGAGATGAGGGTGGGTGTCAAACGTTTGCCTCCGATGCGTTGGGTTTGGTGGCCGCCTTCTTCGTCGTATGTGAGGTGAGTGCAGCTGAGGAACCTACAACGACGGAGGTGGAGGGGTGGTGGTGTGAGTCACGCACAGATGGTGTAGCAAGCTGGTGGGGAAGGGTTCACCGTGTGATGTAGCGGAGCGTGGTCGTGGGGGGTGATTTATGTTGTAAAGTGAACAAGGGGAAGTAAGGAGTGCTGGTCAGTAGAAGACGTAAAGAGTGAAGGTTTCGCAACGGGAACTGGGGGGGGCGCGGAGAGGGCGCGCAGCTGTGAAAGTGTCTGGGCGCCGAGGTCAGCAGGTAAGACAGGAGAACTCGACGGGGACCTTAACTGAGACCGAAAGTAAATGAACGGTATGGAGCAGAAGGGAGCGCTTAAGACATAGTGGGCTGATCACGGCCCACTATTTTTCAGGGGGGGGACGAACTAGGAGAGGTATAATATGGAGATAGGATGATGAGATGAAAAGTATAAGGCGCGAGAGAGCACTGTGAGGTAGTCTATGTACCGTAAGAGAGAATAAGGCTAGACTATATGGCCCGCAATATAGTCAGAGGAAAGCATAGAGATGTAGCGAAAGGAACATTATACACAATTCACAATAAATAATTGCACACATATTTTTTATTATTATCCATTTTTGACAGTGGGTTATCTTTTTGGGTGCACACGATTAGTTAACTTTCTTTGTCAATTTTGGGTAGTATTAGTATCATTGCATTAATTCAGTTTTCTTTGAGTTCCCGTTCCTGGGTGTTACTGCTGGAAGTGTCTCTTGGCCCCGCTGAAGGAGAACTGCTTAAAAGTGGTTGGGCTATAATCAGACTGCACCATGTTAGCCTGCATCATGGGGAGAGGCAGGGTTTTCTCCTAGTTTAAGTTTAGTTATTTCTTTGATAATTATGCTTTTTGATATTGGCATTTCAGTATTTCTCCTTAGTTTATATTAGGCTGCGTTATCTTTTATTATCATTATTTTATTATATTGTAGTTCGTCCCCTAAATAGTGGCCTGATCAGCCACTATTTAAGTTTCTGTCATAGTTTTTACTTTGTTGAGTTAAGGTAGCCTGAGTTCTGTTTAGTTGACCTGGGCCCAGAACTTTATGGGATTGGATTTTGGAAATTATTTTATCTTTAATGACCAGAATCCTTATTTTGGTCATTTAAACATAAATAAAACAAACTAGTATAAGGTGAACCATCAACCACCAAGTATGTAAAATTGTGTAAAGGTCCAGTGTGTAGGATTTAGTGGCATCAACTCAATAGAGAAAGGGAGAAACAATGATGGCCAGGAAACGTTTGAACCATCCCATTTAGAGTCAGTGTTTGGTTTGTTTGTTCTGGGCTACTCTAGAACCATGGTGATTCAAATAATGAAAACATACATATGAATATTATATTCCACTGGCAGACTCTGGATGTGCTAGAGGCCCACTCAATGAGCAATGTATGAGTTTGGGAAACACTGATAGAGCACAGTAACTACTGACTAAATAAAAACAACAGAAAAGAATTATACATTGTTGATGCAAGTGTATTCTTTAAGACAACAGAACAATGTGACCTTTAAAAAGAAGATGGAAATGGAAAAAAAGTGTCCTTGCAGTATCATGTTTCCGCTTTCAAGAACGGGCTATAGTGGGACAGACTGAGGGGGAGAGGAACTTTGGCTCTTCATACCTCCATGTGTGGTTTCAGATTTGATCATAACTTTCACAAGTGGACATGAATAGAAACCGATGAGCGCCATGATCTTACCGATGAAGAACATGTAAGTGGTGAACATGAGGAGCATGCCGGCTGCGTGGGACAGCATGCCGATGGTGATCAGAGTGAGATCACTGAGCCACCATGACAGGACCATGGCACTCAGGAAACTAGAGAGGATAATGAGGAAGCCAGAGGTGTCCCCATACCCCACATGGAAAGGTCAGATATGGGTCAGACTCACAGCTCAGTCAGCATCCAATCAAGAGTTCACTAGCTGGAAATACATATACCAATTATATAATAATACCGATTGTTTATTATTTCATTTATATAGAAGGAAATCAGTCCATTGTGCAGTCATTTACTTCCTGTCATCAATAAAGCATACAGAGTATAACGCACACGTTTTGAAAAATGTTTTTAACAGTTCACTTAATGTTTATTTTTGCAGGATTATACACTAATGAAAATATACCTATTCATGTAATATTCCATTTCTGACAATAGATCCTCCTAAATGTTACACACGGGACCTTTCACCATTGCCTACATCCATCTACAAATGTTATTGTCTGTTTTCTATACTATGTATAACTGTACATAGTAGTTTCTGTCTATTTTGTTGAGCTTGTTGTCCTGTTTATTTATGCTTATTCTGTGTTTGTGCATTAAGAGCAAGTAAAATCGGAGTCAAATTCCTTGTATGTGTGCACATACCTGGCCAATAAAAGTGATTCTAATTTAAAACAAACTAACAAAAATAACAAATAATTAGACACTCAGGGAAAAATAAATATTTATTTTCTTTTTTTTAATATTTACTCACCTGTGTCACACTCCAGTGGAGAGGCTCCCTCAGCAGAAATAAGACCAGGGTGTTTTTAGCTGCAGTAACTGCAGCAGCGTGGAGGACTCCTGCCACCCACAGCAGCACCATGTTCACTACATGCTCAGACTGGGTTTTGGTATTGAGCTACTTCTGGTACTCACAATGACTGGACTGACATGACATGTACCTACATTACAGTATATTAGGTCCAGTAAAATATTCTTACTAATTGGACTTTCTTTATCCATTCAAGGTTTTGAAGTATCCTGACATCTTACCTCTGCCATCTTGTTTTCCTTGTTTTGTATTTCTTCCCTAAAGCCTGCTATTTCTCATTATAA